ATGAGTCCACAGACATCACCTTCAATAATTTGTAGTATTCCAGTGCCTAAAATACCTACGCTAAGAAACGGTAGCCTCCATTGCTTGCCTTCGCAACACACAGTACACTAATAATTATTTTTGTGATTCTGGAAAATTTCCTTTGGTGTCAAAGCTATCAACACATCCCTTTATTTTGTTCAGATACTGTGCGTTTCCATCCTCTACGACTATATTGTAGGACGTTCCGTTGGCTGAGGTCACTATATCCAAGTGTCCTGAACACTAGAGGTTTTTTTTATTAGCCATAATGATTTTAGGAATGACCGGCTCGCGACGAGTTTTTAATCCAACTTTCATTAGGCGTCATGAGTTTGCTTACGCCTGAATTTAGCTAAAAGTCATATTTGTTGTAGTTACCATTTAAAAATAAAGCAGTAAACGCGTTAAATCTGATTTCGAACTATATCACAGCCTCCTACATTTAACAAGCCATGAAGTTAAAAAGGCAACACCGCAATCTTACCGCCAAGTGGTGCTGGTGGTGTTTGTTTGTATAAATATATATTTTTTATTTTATTAATATGAATCACAAAAAATGCATAATTTATTGTACTAAAGGGCCAAAAACAGTAATTCAATGAATAATTTAACTATTTGTGTAAATAAGAACAGTAAATAATTGATTTAAATGAATATATTTCTAGAGTCTAAAGGGTTATGTTTCAGTATGTCTTTTGAAAATCTAACTTTTTCTTTCTTCAGGATTTTTTCGGAAGGCAAGTCCATTCAAATACTTGAGCTGATTTTCGAAAATAAGAGGTACCTGGTACCTACTTTTAAGAGTTGGACATTTTAGTTTGAACTCTCGAACTACGCCTTTATCCTTGTTTGTTTCAAATCTAATTATTTCGGTTTCTTCAAAATGCTTACAACACACCACAGAATTTTTCGTTATTGTATAATCTCGGGTATAATTATCTTGGTGTATTCCTTTTATCCACATTTTTTGCACTTCAGAATTTTTTTGGAAATAAAAATGTTTGCATTTCTTCAGTTTTTAAGGAACTCCTAATAGTTCGATTTGCACCCAGGAACACAGTAGTTTCATGGCCTCTGGAACAAGTTTAAATATCTTAGGTAATATATCGAGACCTATGCTCTTGCAGACAAATATTAATATTGTTTTTATTGTTTTACCTTCATTTTTGCTCCTGTACTCATTTGCTAAAAATTAGCAATCAAAGCACAAAGGAACAGGTATCAACTAAATATGGGCAATATATTGGTGTGTTTCTATCCACTTTTTCGTCAATAAATGCCCATAAAAATACTAAATTGCAACAATACACAATGAAAGCAATACACAGAAACACATAACCCAATAACAAAATAGCACCATACGCGACGTTGCCGTCATTTCCAACTTCATGGCTTGTTAACTATAGGAGGCAGTGACTATATTAATAAACACATGGTCAAACAATGAAATTTGCGCCATTAGGATTATTTACCTTCATTTTTATTACCTTTTTGTTATTATAAAACTACTTCCTGTATTTTTTTGTGGTTTTAGGTGATTTTCTAATGCTTGATAAGGATATTCTGGTATTTTAAGATGGGGAGGGGAGTCTTTATATATAGGATATGCATAACAGTTTAGTAACGGTCCATCAAAGAAAATTTAATATTTATTTATCCATATGAAGGAATTAAATTCTAAAACAAAATTGTATCATAAAAACAGTTAGGGAAAATCACTATTCAGGAATAAAAGTTAGTGAGCATAAAATGGAAGAACTGTTAAAGACTAACCCAAACTGCCCTAAAAACTTTGGTAGTTCTGCCTTTTTGCACAAAAATCGTTTTTCTCCAAAACCTGCGTTTTGTCTCTGCAGGAACAGCATAAAACGAGACTTCAAGTTAGGAGAGCGGCTTCCATAGTTTATTAATTAGGTAATTTTAGTTCTAGTTTTGTTTTGTAATGCAATTTTTTTGTGAAATTGTACTAAAGGTGGTTGAAACTTGATAAATAAATAAATAAATCTCGAAATAAATAAATAGATGAATACTTGTTGGTACCAGTTCACAATTTTCCTTCAGTCCAGAACTGCCGATTTGCATACGTCAGTTAAAATTTAAATACACCTACAGGCCGTCGACAGGTCTGAGCCTGCAGTTCACTTGCATCTAACGACTGACTGAAGTGTATGGAGAAAAATTGCCAGTTGAAATCATACGATTCCATCTTTAAACTAGTTGGTTTGTGATTTCATTTTTGTGAAATGGCATTATTAATATTTATTAAAGGTAATTGCCTTGCCTCTGGAAAGTAAAGAGCAAATCATACTCAAATAGGCACGAAAGGAACATAACTAATATTTTTTGTTACACAACGGCTATTAAAATCTAATAAAGATTATAGTAAAAATTAGTAAAATTATTTTATTTAGTACCCACTACTTATTTTTTTGCTCGCTTTTAAATACTCTCTCTTAAGGGCCTTATAAATACATAAACAAGTTTTTGGAATAATGTTTCCGAGAGCTTGGGGAGAAATAATTGCCAAAAATTTCAAATCTTCCAAACTTCGCCCCGGTGCCAAATATCGAAGTGTCATTACTAAACGTTCTTGGACTGTAATTGCTTTTTTCATTTTAGTATTTTTCTTCTATATTAACAGCTTAACCATGCTTAAGAGTTCTTTAAAACATGTGTCATCTATTCTAAGGTAATTTTCAAGGTCGTCTATGGCCCTAGTTCTTAGTTTTTTCACCAGTCTCATATGAGATAAAGTATCACGTTGTAACAGCCAATCTTTTACCCAAAAACGTTTTTTGCCTTTGTTATCGGCTCTTGATATATTAATAGCACAAGAAGTGTGGCTAGTTTTTTCTTTCTTAATACAGAACATTTTTCACTACAACGAGACTGTTCGATTAGCACTGAGATATTTTTGTGTGTGTGTGGCGAAAGCTCAGTTTTCCTTTAGTTCAAAAACTGACATTCTTAAAACTGAGGTCGCATCGGTTCAGAAGACTGAATAGTGTGTGGCCTGAGAAAGTTCAGATCATACAAGCTATGTTCCGATATCAACTGTCAGTACTGAATTCACTGGACGCCGTTCCGATATTATTTTCAGTACACTAATTCAGTACTGAATGACCCCCAGATAACGCTGTTGAAATCGGAACAGCAAATGACACTTAAATCAGCACAGTAAATCCAGTACTCAGTTGATATCGGAAGATAGCCTCATAACAGTCTTAAAACTGCGGACAAACTGTATGTAAATCCGCACCTTTATCATCTTTATGTTTGGGCATGTGCCACTATTTTAATATACCTAGTAAATAAAAAATCTTGTCAATATTCTGCCTATGCTTGAGGCTTCAAATTTAAATAGGAAAATTTCATACATCTGTCAAAACTGACATACCAACAATTAACTGATATGTTTGGATTGTTGATTTGAACCAATCAGATAATTTGCACTAGTGCAAATTATCACGATAATTGCACAGTAACTGGTGTTTTGACAAAATAATTGAATTTTTGATTCATGAAATTCTTTCATAATAAAATACAACTCGGGCAATGAAAATATAATTTTTAATTTTTGACAAATTTGCACTCATGCATTTTTACTGAAAAATGCATTTGGGCAAATTTCCCAAAAATTATTGATAATTTCCATTGCACTGGTTATATTACTATTGATTTTTTTTTTTGATAAATCAACATCGAATGTGTGACTATATGTTTATTTTGAGGTTTATTTTAAACATGTGGCAAAATTTGCATTTTGATAATACTTGGTGTAGGTACCTATCACAATGAATATGCAAAGTAAAAAAACACAAATGTTTGAACCTTCCAATAAATTCTATTTAAATTATTCAACTTTTTAAAGTGAATATCAATTTGATTGTCCCTTCAAAAATAGATGTTATATTATATTCCCATACACTTTCAAATAACTCCTAATCTTGAATTTGATAAAATCTATAAAAGCATCTTGAAATGTAGCCATTGTTTACAGTTTAATTTTGTTTTGTCTGTCATCATTTTTTTTTTTTTTTTTTCTGAAGTGAATATAATTACCTTATCACACATGTGTGATGCATTCCCAGAAACAAGATTATACTGTTATTTTATTTTCACACAATGTGTGTAGAGGGTGACAACTTAAAGTGGGTACCTACGCCCTAGAATTTTCTTGTTTTTTTGAATAGGTTTGTTACATAAATATGAAAAAGACTCCTTTGCATAAATAACTACTACAATCTTTCTTATATAAGTATATACTTGATGATAAAACACAACTTTATATCATCCCAAAATATAAACTGAACGTCTATATAAATATGATATTTCTGAACTTCTAAAAGCTGATCCTTCTGGATATGGGAGTTCAGACTTGGTGATTATATAGATTGTACTTTACCATGTCTGTCAATGTGTTCTCAGAATTCTACAATACAAGGGACTACCTTGACAAAATTCCGATTTGCTGAATATGTTGAATAACTTTCAACATTTTTTATGTCCTTTTCTTGTTCAGCTATTACATTTTTGATTACTAATGAAATCAAATTGATCTTGAATATAAAATTTGGAACCAGCATTCAAGTAACCGAACTATCCAAGATAGAGCTTAACAAGGGTATGCCACTTAGACTCGGGATAGGCTGATTATTTGTGAAATCCATAGCTATATTCTCACCACCTGCAAAACACTTGTGACTTACCAGTAAACCCATTTCCAAAATAACTTTTAAATTTCCAATTATATTTAGACAGATGTTGTTTTTTTTTTTTGGCTTTGAGGTAGAGTGTAGAGTGTGTAATAATATGTATTACCTACTTGCAAATATACTTACCTTTTCCATTAATAAATAATGGCATTAATAGTTAGCCCCATATAGTGTATTTTGCAGGCTTTTTTTCACAATCATTTTTGTTTGTTTTGTGTTGTGTTTAGGTATTATTTTTGAAAAATACTTTTATTGTTCTGGTAGGTAATGGAGAAACCCAATGGTGCTTCTCACAAGTTAAGGGTACTCTGGATGATGATGTTACAGAAGCCGATATCATTTCGTGTGTTGAGTTCAACCATGATGGTGAACTTTTGGCCACAGGTGATAAGGGTGGGCGAGTGGTCATTTTCCAGAGAGATCCTATGAGCAAGGCGGCCTTACCACGTCGGGGCGAATATAATGTTTATTCAACGTTTCAGGTAAGATAATTTTCCTCCATCAAAATTCTGAGTTCATGAAAATATATTTTTATAGAGTCATGAGCCTGAGTTCGATTATCTTAAAAGCCTCGAAATTGAAGAAAAAATAAACAAAATCCGATGGCTAAAGAGACGTAATCCCGCCCATTTCTTATTGTCTACAAATGATAAAACAATTAAATTGTGGAAGGTCTCTGAAAGGGATAAGAAAGTTGAAGGTTACAATACTAGAGCGGATAATGGTTCCTTAGTAGATCCATCTTCAGTGAGTAGCCTCAGAATTCCCATAATTAAACCAATGGAACTGATGGTAGAAGCTTCGCCACGTCGCATCTTTGCCAACGCCCACACCTACCACATCAATTCAATTTCAGTTAACTCTGACCAGGAGACCTACCTTTCGGCAGATGATCTACGTATTAATCTTTGGCATTTGGAGATCACTGACCAGAGCTTTAATATAGTAGATATCAAACCGACCAACATGGAAGAGCTGACAGAAGTGATTACAGCTGCCGAATTCCATCCTGTGGAGTGCAACTTGTTTGTGTACAGTAGTAGTAAGGGAACTATTAGGTAAGTCTACTATAGACTCTTTGTCACTAGACATCATAATATCTGATGATCTTTGTTTTATTGGTAAATTAGATGCACTTTGATTTTCTTTGGAAAATCATTTGTGTATTTCAGAATTTCCCAATTGGCCCTGGTACTGAGTTGTGAAATGTGGATAATGTGGTGTGTAGAAAATTTGTATTATGTAATCTTAAAAAGTGGGATTATCTTGTTTATGAAGTTTTTTGGGGAGATGATCAATCCTAAATCAATGATGTTTCTATGTATTTTGTTTATCGGTTAAGCTCATAGAATGTTTGAAAGTGACCATTTACATTTTATTGTACTTATGTCATATTTCCAATTTGCTTAATCAAAGATCAAGTTGGTGGGTACTTCGAGCACGTACCCACCCTGAGTGTATGAAATTTTTTCATACAAAATTTTCGGTTTTGGCAGTTTCAAACTTTTCTGAAAATTAGCTTAGATGCAATTATGCGAACATTTCACACATAACAGGTTAATTGAAACTTGTCCAATATAAGCTATATAATATATTGTTGTAGGTTATGTGATATGCGTACCTCAGCCCTATGTGATCGGCCAGCCAAATTATTTGAGGAGCCAGAGGATCCCACTAATCGCAGCTTCTTTTCTGAGATTATATCCAGTATCAGCGACGTTAAGTTGTCCAATAACGGTCGGTACATGATTTCCAGAGACTACTTGTCTGTCAAAGTCTGGGATTTACATATGGAGAGCAAACCGATTGAGACATACCCTGTAAGTAACTGTTTATTTTTCATGTTTTCATACAGCCTTTATTTGGTGATATTGGAAATTTGTTGTATATTTGGCATTCAAGCTCCCTCTTGTCCATATTTTCTAGTTTTAGGCTGTTGATAATAATAATAATAATAATAATAATATTAATAATATTAATTTGGTCTTTCATTATGTAAAAGTAAACAAAAGGGCGAGAATCAGTTTGAATACTCTTGGGAGTGAACCAAGAGCAGGATTCTGTCAAACATGCCAAGCTTAAAAAATAATTATTTTGAACAAATTTTTGACCCTGATGAGCATCAGCATTATTTTCTTAAACAAAAATATTACAATGCTTGACTGATGGCTTTATTACAAAATAATTGTAATATTTGGTTTCAGGTACACGAATATTTGAGAGCTAAACTTTGTTCTCTGTATGAAAATGACTGCATTTTTGACAAATTCGAATGTTGCTGGAACGGCAACGATACCGCCATCATGACGGGTTCCTACAATAATTTCTTCCGGATATTCGACCGGACAATGAAGCGTGAAGTGACCCTTGAAGCTTCCCGCGACATAGCCAAACCGAAAACTCTGCTGCGGCCCCGCAGAGTGTGTTCGGGTAAACGAAAAAAGGATGAGATTAGTGTAGATTGTTTGGACTTTAACAAAAAAATCTTACATACTGCGTGGCACCCATTAGAAAATATCATAGCGGTAGCCGCTACGAATAACTTATTTTTATTCCAAGACAAGTTTTAGTTTTTGCGAACGGACTGGTAAATATCGTTTCAATTTTATTTCCCTTGTATAAATTATATTGTAAAAAAGGTCGATAGAAAAGCTCGTTCTGAGTGGCGGATAAAAGGGATTTTTGAACTTTCCTGGATAATTTGGCGCAATTTGGTGCTGCTGACATGGGGTTGAGCTGAATTTAATATGGATTATTATAATTGTAAATAATCAAAACTATCCAAAATGTTGAACAGGGTGTCCTGTTCAAAAAAATAGTAATTATTATAGTTAATAAGTTTTAAATTGTATTGAGTGAGTCGTGACTTTATAGTTATTTTTTTTTTGACCGCCATCATCTGATACCCCAGGAAAATCGATTTGATAAAAAGGTGTGTAAATTAAGCACTTTTCATCCCTATTACCCCAGAATTTTATTCCAACATCACCCAATGCTGCAATTTAGTGCACCATGCAAAAATACGACTACTATTCTTGAACAGGTTTTTAGCAAGCCCATTACAAAAGATAGGATATACAAATATTTTCAGAATAGGTACCAAATGAGTAAATAAAATTTCTCTTTGTTATTAGCCAAAGTTACATTTTTCAAAGATAGTTGGCCTGGGGTATTGGATTGAGTGCCGCAATCATTACATAATGTTTTTTAAGTATTATTGATATTTGCATGTTATTTTTTTACAATAAGACCAAAAAATCACAAAAAATAAAAGTTACCCAGAAATCAGGTGTTTATATACAACACTATTGATAAAGGGCACCATTCGGCTGGCAAAATATTTTTTTCTGGGATATCTACTTACTCTCCTGAGAATAATAATACAAAATTTACAATTTAATTGGGGACAGGACACACTGTAGAAAGTAAATTATTACAGTTATTTTAATATTATAAAAATATCGTTGAGCCCAACCTATGTGAAGACTGGACGTTGAGGACCACTTTGAAAATATGCATAACGAATCTTTGCTGTTGCTGGAAATATTTTTCACTTCCTAATAATCTTCTCATTCACTACACATTGAATTACGGAAAATCAGTTATGAGTCAATTTTTCATTTTTGGAAATAGTTTGTGAATAACTTTTTTGGAATCTTATTGCATCTTGTGTAACCAGTCCTTTAATATTTACATAGTGAATCGGATATACCATCTAGCAGAGCAATAATCGGAGGTGTCCTGCAGTTGTGAGAAATTTCTGTGTATTTCAATTTTAATTAAAACCAAACGTTGCATGACTAATTCTATTCCATGTAATTTGGATGGAATCTACTTGTGGACTGGGGTGTGTAACCAGTGTCAATCCATACTTTGTTTGACCTTCCAATTGCAAAATTCGTATTATGTGTATCTTTAAGTATCTCAATTAGGTATGATAGTTTTGCTCATCTGAACAAACTTAGAATAGGTTATTTTATTGATCGCTGAGGATGTGGCAGTGTATTTAGAAGTGTCTTTAAAAAATATGAAAATCAGCAAATGAGTTCTGTTTTATAACAAGATGAAAAGGCTGAAAGTTGACAGGATTTAAGTTGACCAAAAGTAAGTTTTCCAAATGAGAATATAATATAGACTTATCATTTTTAACATGAAATTGAACTCATTTGGTTTTGGATTCTATTCCCTATCATCGACCAATTTTCTATTGATAAAGTGCCATACCAAACTTTTTATATATTTATCTTCAAGCAGTCTTTTATTTAATTTTTCTTGTTGTTAATATGTGGTGCAGAAGTGATTAGGTTTTACAGCCTGACAAAGTTGCAAAAATGTCGAGTTTCAAGGGTCAATATTTTCGAAACAGTTGAATTTAGGTATAGGACATTATACATGGGATACAGAGCTGTCACCTACGATTTTCTGAAATGCCCTCACTTCCCTTAATAATCTACTACATATTTCAAAAAAATTTCAGCTCTAGAATAAAAATTTATATAGTTTAGCTTCCCACCTTTTTTTTTAAAGAAAAATATGCTTCCTCCCGATAATTTATCAGTTTTCCGTTCAGTGATCATATTTGTAAGGGAAACATATCATAATTATTCTAGGATTTTGTACAAAAAATAATTGTTACCTATACATACATCTAAAAATAATCATTTCATGAGTGCATGAGAATAATTAAAATTTTATGAATTATCTAACTGAAAAATCAAAAAGGTGTTAAGAATAAACCACCAACATCATCAAGGTCAACTTAATTTTTATACTGATGGTCTTTTTATCTTTAAAACCGGCTTAACATAACTTTTTGAAATTGAATTATTGTTTATGTTATTGAAAGTAACAAAGAGTGGTCAACGCTAATTTGAAGAACTCTTTCGTTTATTATTTATTAAAAAGTGCGTTTAAGAATAAGCCACCAACATCATCAGGGTCAACTCAATTTTTATATTGATGGTCTTTTTATCTTTAAAACCGGCTTTACATAACTTTTTGAAATTGAATTATTGTTTATATTATTGAATATTATTGAAAGTAACAAAGAGTGGTCAACGCTTATTTGAAGAATTCTTTTGTTTATTATTTATTAAAAAATGCCTTTAAGAATAAACCACCAGCATGATCAGGGTCAACTTAATTTTTATATTGATGGTCTTGGTCAACGCTAATTTGAAGATTTTTTTCGTTTATTATTTATTAAAAAGTGCGTATAGCGTAAACTAGATTAGAAGTTTAATTTTATCAAAATAAGCCTTTAGCATGCCTTTTAAAGAGGATACACTGCCACGCATAAACAAAACAAAAATTAAAAAGTACTAAGTAATACTTAACGATGTATTATGTATTTTTAAGTAAACTTCCATTTTTGTTTTTGGACATTATTAGAATATAGGCATGTTTTTATTATTTCAATTTTTAGCTATACTGTACAAATTTTGATTGAAGGCTGCAACTTTCTCACATTAAATCTCAGAAAAATGTAATTGTCTTGTACATACCTGAATAATTGTTATAAAATTATTGATTAATAAAACGGTAATGTGATAATTCTAAATAAATGAAGAGTTTATACAATTTTGTTTTGTTTTTTGTTCCCAATCCTCTATGTACCTACCTAGTTTTGAAAACTCCTCATATTTTTCAGTATCTATCAAAAAGTAGTGAAATAATTTAAAATACAAGTGGGATCGCAGGGCCAGTGGATGATATGATATGATATGTTCTGTGTTTTTTTTATATTAGTGTCACAAAGCCTCTCTTGCTCCGCTACGTAGCTCTACTATTCACCCTGACAATCAGAACGGGAAGGGAAAGGGAACACCAGAATAACTCTAGATAATTATATTTAATGTTCAATCAATCAATCAATCAAAAGGGTCTAAGGGCACCTGAGCGACTCCGTCGGGTATAAGCCCAAGCTTGATCCTAAGAAAACCAAACCAACACCACAATAGAAGCTAGATAGCCTGTACTGCAGAACAGTGTCTGGGTCGTCAGACGAAATCTGCTCGGACAGAGATACGATACGTAATCCCTATTCGGCCAAATAGCTTTATTTTTTTTTTGTCTTTTGAAAATCAACTTATGGCAATTAATATAAAACAAAGAGTACCTATCTAAACGCGGCAGAGGTCAGATCGGTAGCGAATTAAATAGTTTAAATGCGATTGTTTGCATTAAAAATGAGTGATTCAGAGGAAAACGCGGATGCGGAGGATATGGAGTGGCTCGTAACTCAATATAGGAGAAGGAAACGTAAGAAATTGGAAAATACGACTCTTTCGTTGGAAGAAATTTCCGACAGTGTGGGCGATAAACCAACTAAAAAAAAACGATAGGCGTACCGAAATAAACGATCAGGTAGGTAATTCCAGTTCACAAAAAAAAACAACAAAACAATAATCCAATGAAAAGAATATTTACGTCATTATTTAAATGCTATCGAAAACGTAAACAACTGGGAAAAGGAATTCCCGGATAACAGGGACGTGATCTTAAATACAAAGAAAGGCTTTCTATTGAAATCGAACACAGATAAATTTAAACTATTAGCAAAACTAGCCAAACTTAAAAATTATTACATTCTACAAAAAAACAAAACCTTATTTATCAGAACCCCATAAGGAACCTGAGCCTACGTATTCGGTAGTGATCGCCGGAGTTGGAAAAGGCATACTGGATGAAGAATTGGGAGAATACGTTAAAAATAAAACAATCGTCCACAGATTTTGCAAAAGAATAATATCGAAAGCTACGGGCCAAGCCACTTCTCTTATTCGTATCATAACTTCATGTCAACAGTCTTCTGAAAATCAACTCAACAATGGCCTATTTTATAAAAACAGGCACTATGCTGTTTATCCTAGCACCCCACCTGAACCTTCACCATTACCATGTAAAAAGTGCAATTTATTCACTCGTACATCGGAAGACTGCACGACCCCCATTATCACATGTGAAAAATGCAACCAAAATCATCTCACATCAAAATGCACATCTAATCTTCCAGCTAAATGTAGATCCTGCGGATCCATTGACCATAAGGCCTGGTCCTTTAAATGCCCCAATCGTCCTACAAAACCTATCGAAGGAATCCCAAACGCAAAAATAAGACCTTTGAATAAGAAAATATCAGAAATTCAAACCGTTAAAACAAACAACAGCAGAATCTATTAAGCAATAACCATTCATGACTAGATAATCAACACCTATATAAACAAAATCAATAAGCCCAAAAACACAGAATTGCTACAGAAACTCAAAAATAGATTTATTAATGAATACAATATTGACACTTCAGCAGTGTTTTCGGGAAAAAGACTATACATTTTGATGTTTAACTTAGACCAACCAGCTAGCACATCACCATCTGAACCTCTACAAGGAGTAAACAATACGCAACACGATGTCTAGTAAAATTAAACTATTATATAACAACATCAATGGCTACACCAAAAGAAAATATCAACTCCAGCACTTCATCCTTGTCGAGAGTATCGACTATGCTAGTGGAGACCAAACACAAAATCTCAACAAACATAGATCACCGTGACTGGAAGTCAATAAGCAAAGTAGGATACCAAATAACCAACTACCATTAGAAGAGGAAGCCTAGTCCAAGCTCACCCGAAACTTAAGTTGAAAAATGAAAATCCCCCAAGAATAAATAACCCCTTGAACGAGTGCATACACTTCACTCTTCCATTCCAACAAGAAAAGCTACACATATTTCTTATTTACATTCATCCTACATCCAAAATAGTCTAATAGAAGAAACTATATTCATAAAAGCCTCACTTTATAAATATTCAATAATTGTTGGAGAATGGAATTTCAATCAAAGGAAAAAAAACAACTTCGGGACTTTTACACAATGGCAGCTTCACAAGAGCTCAGACGCCTCCAACTTTCCTGATGCAGAACAATGCTGACTCCAGTCCCAGTACAATTGTATACTCAAAAAATTTTGAAGGATGTTTGGGAGGATCGGACCACATGGGTTTCAAAATGGAATTTAACCTAGGAAACATCTTAACAGAGGATAGAACAGTCAAATAAAATTACAAGAAATGCAACATAGAGAAGATCAATACAGACCTAATCAAATACATAAACCAGCAGGAACAGTCAATAATAACCACAGACCAAATTACAGACTTTAGCAACAAAGTATCTGAAATTATTAAACAAAATACTCCGCTTATAAAAAATCAAAACTTTTATCCTCTACCACCATTCATAGTCAGATAAATTAAGGAAAAAAAGAGAATGTTAAGGGAATACTATGCCAGACCAGATCCAGAAATAAAGACCAAAATTAACAAATTTGGTAAAGATATTCAGATGTTAATCTTCAAATACAAAAACAATTCGTGGCTTCAAACCTGCCAGGAGATAAATGAAGAACAAGGCAAAAATTTTTATTCAAAAATACGTAAATTGACACGCTACAAGGTCTCCTTGGTAGTTCCAGACTTGGAAGAAAATGGCATCACATATTCTACAGATCAAGAAAAAGTAAAAAAGTTCCACGATTACTATGAGCAACACTTCAATCAGAACGACCATCCTGACTTTGACAAGGACAATAAGGTATTTATTAATAGATGCTACGAAGAATTTTTTAACGAACAACTAGAAAGAAATCAGCCTAATGAAGTACTTGACCCAAATGAATATTATAAAATAATTCATTCACAAAAAGATAGCGCACCAGGATCAGACAACATTCCGTGGACTGGGGTAAAGCAGTTTGAAGTTGCAGTCCACGAGTATATCATGAAAATTCTTGAATACTGTCTTAACAAAAAATGTTTTCCAGAGATATGGAAAAAAGGTATCATAATTAATATACCAAAACCACATAAAGACCATAAACTTCCCAAAAATTATAGACCGATTACATTACTTCCGGTTATAAAAAAAATATATGAAAAAATAATACGACTCAGCCTTGCAAACATAGTAAATGAAAAAATCCCAACACATCAATTCGGTTTCAAATCAAAACATTCTACGATCCATCCGCTAACCATATATTAACCTCCAACATCGAAACAGCTAAGCCTCAGAACATGAAGTCAGCAGCTCTTTTCTTGGATATGGAAAAGCCATTCGACAGTATCTGGCACAGAGGTATCTCCTATACAAATTGTATGTCTTGGAAGTTCCTGAGCATCTCATAGAAATGATCAAAAACTTCTTAGAAAGCAGAAAAATTCAAATTAAAATCAATAATCAAAAATCCCACGAATTTAGTCCACAACAAGAAGTACCACAAGGATCGCCTCTATCACCATTGTTATATAACGTATATTGCTATGAAATAAATGAAAATATTGCCGATTTGGACGCGAACAAATATATCCTGCAGTTTGCTAATGACACAGCACTAATTACACATGCTAAAACTAGCTCAGAGGCTGCTACTATAATAAGCTTCAACACTATACTCAGCAAATTGAGGTATGGTTCCAAAAATGGCGCTTAACTCCTAATCCATTAAAATCGCAATATCTCCTGTTTAACCACTAAATTCGTGCAACTTCACTTCAAATAACTTTACTCAACCAACCGATCTGACCAAAGCCGACTGCTAAATATCTGGGAATTGTAATCGACACCAAACTTAATTTTAATAATCACACTAAAGCCATAAAAACTAAAGCAATTAGGTACCAGATGAAAGCATTTCAGAGCATTAACCTACAAGAACCACGGAATTAACTTCAGAACGGCCACAAAAATTTACAAATCAATCTGTAGACCTTTTCTAGAATATGGACACACAATCCTTCTTAATCTTAGACCACCAGCTCAAAAAAACAGCAGAAACTTCAGCTCTTCGAGCAATAACCAGAATGTGACACCCTAAAACTCACTGTTCAATCCAATAAATTAATTGCTCTATCAGAAGACAGGAATCGAACCAATTCATCAAAGACTCCACCAGCTCAGCAAGAAATTTGTTTTAAGACCACATAACATGGAGATCCTAGATCCACTATGTAGAGCAAGAGAAAATAGAATTAGGCCATTCAAACCACGTGACTTTCAAGATGGCGTGGCAGCCACACATGGGCCAAAAAACACAAAAAAAATATCTAGTTTCTGCCCGAACTAATAGTTTACGTACCTGGTCAACAAATATTTTATTAAATAATGAAAATCAAAGTTGTAAGCAAAACTCTATGTAAAATAATTTAAAATACGCATAAAAACATATCCAAAACAAACTTGCTTGGCCGCCACGCCACATTGAATTTTCCTGTTTGACAGATTGATTGAATTGCCTAATTTCCAGACACTCCAGACACATTTTCCCGTTAGTCACAACAATTGAGAAACTTCAACAGTTACAAAACCCCATTTAATTTAAATTTTTAAATTATATTATAATTTTTTTTTTGTTACACAAAAGTAATATTCTTAGTTATGGGTACAAGGTACAACATAACATTTTGTAAATATTATATGTTATTGTAAAATTTACCTTGGCTGAAGGACTTCGGTCGATGGCCTTTTGGGAAACCAATAAAGTTCTTAATAATAATAATAATAATAATGTAAAACAA